ACATGGAGTCGCTGGCATCATCTTAGGTGTCCATTATATTCACATACTGAGGTCACTCTTGGTGCCAGCTCTGTCTTCGATTAATAGATAAGGTTCCCTCTCTATTTGCAGTGCTACCTAAATAATCTATTACTGTAGGGAATAACTACAGTATTACAAATACTGAGTTAAAGTTATTTTGTTAACTAAAGCCATTGGCAAATATTTAAGAATGGCCAAAGCATATGAATTGACAATAAAGAACAGATACAAGATAGCAAAATTCTTACTTGTAGCTAAAGGGATAAAGGAAACACCTTACAATTTTTTTTTTTTTAATTTGGGTTAATTTTACTTAGTTAGAAGCAAGTCTTCATGGTGCACCTGGTGAATGCTTAGGCTAGAATATGCTAATACAGCCAATTCCCTATCAAAACATGATAGGAACATTTTATGGAAAGCTTGGTTCTAGGAAAAACATAATTTGGGAAAACTACAAAGAGTATTTGCAATAGTTTGCTGTACTGCAGTCCTCTAATTCATGGAAGAACTTTGAGAGCCTGTGAATCTGTGTTTTGCAATTAGCACAGATACATTGTGGAACCCTGAAGATATGTAATTAATGTTAACATGTAGCAAGCAATATTTAGGATTAAAGCATAAAATTTATAATAGTCTCTTCTGTGAACTCAGGTGCATTATATCTCTGTGTGAGAAAATAGCTAAGTTGCAAGCTTCCAGTCTCTAATCAACTAGAAATAGCAGAGACCCCAGCCCCAGGTGCATCAGGTACCCAGGGAATTCAGGTGGATTTCTTATCTACAAGCTAGCTCCTTAGCTATGGGTCTGTGTCACAGCATGTGCCACAGGTGAGACAGCTGCAGTACACTGAGCATCAGCATACAATTTCAGAAGGCTTTAAGCATTCATTCATACAGAGTAACACCTTATCACATCAGAAAGCTTCAAGCATCTGCCCTTCTTGTTCTTCAGCCCAGCCTTTTATACCCCTCATGTCCATGCACTGCCCCTGTGTGCCCTCTGTTCCCTTTGTGACTGGGCAGTACCTGGGCACTCCACAGCTCATTGCTGTCAGTGCTGCCCACCTGCTGCTCACAGCTGTACCCACTGGGATGAGGTTCAGCTGCAGCCCCACTCCCAGTTACCACAGGTCTATGCTCTAGCTGAAGGGAATAGCACTATAACTGCAAGCACCTCAAAATCAAAAACACTTCCTTCTACCAATCAGTTCCATGTATGTTTTGTCCTGTTTCAACCAAACACTGTTAATCCAGAAACTATTTTTGTGAAGGTCCTAGACTGATGGTATGGTGAATGTGAGGAATGATAGGTGGTGCTGAATGTTGTGTGCATATCACTCACATGAGGCTGTGCTATCTGAGCAATTTGCCTAGGACCTGCATAAAGTGAACAGAAGACATTTGATTACTGTGCAACTCCCTAAATGAAGAGTTTGTAATGGAGGCATGGTTTCCAATTATGTCTTGTTTGAGAGCTTGGTAGTCCTTCACCTTCAAGAAAGGCTCAGATGATTTAACTCCATATCCTGACTCCCTCTCCCAGGGTAATCACAGGGAAATGGTAGGGGTACTTCAGTGGTCCTGCACAGTAAAAATGAAGCTGAAAAGAATATGTTTGCTGTTTTGCATCACCAGAAGACCACCTGGATTTAGTTTTATCCTAAATTCTGATAGTGCTGCATCTAACTTAGTTATTTCAACAGTGATGAGTCTCTTGACATTAGTGAAGCTCAAAGCACTTTGCACACATAGCATTGTGATTGCTCTTATTTAAAGAAGACTGCAGCCCAAGGAGGAAAAATGTGTTTGCTAGTGGCCTTTAATTGATATTTGTTGAAGCATAGAAACTCTTAGATGGATAGTAGTCAAGTCAAGCTTTCACTGTAGCTAATGAATCTACGTTTGAATCATCCAGTGTCCAGGCTCTTAGGACCCTGGAACAGGCTGCAGATTTCTCTAGATCATTTCAGGAGAGAAGGCTAATCTCAAGGTGCTGCTTTCTGTTGTTCCATACTCACATGTAATTGAGTCTGAACGTATGGACATGCATGATCAGCACCAATCTGTCAACACAGAAACACAGGATTTGCTGTGAAATCCTGAAGTTG